CACAGAAATGCCTACTGATACAGCCGAGGCTCGAACCAGCGACCTTCTTGCTGTGAGGCGACAGCACTTAAAGAGCCCATATTATATATGAAATAGGGTCATATCTTAGTTGTAAGGGTCTCCAACAACAGTTTAATATGCATGCAAGGTCAAAAAACACTTTCATGGTCTTATAATCTGCATTTATTTTTACCTAATTATTCCAGCGACTCCTGTATGAATCGTCCAGTGATTCATTTGTTCCCAAACCCCTCCTTAGCGCGAAGCTAATCTGCGCTGATTGGACCAATGACAGTCTGTTGCGATTGGTCGACTGCCTTCAGTCAGAGAGTGAAATGCCCAACAGCTAATCAGCAATATAAAAGTAATCACAGTTCATACATGCTCGATAGTGTAGCCGTGGATTTTAGCTGCCAGTGGGTCAATGTAAATACAGACTATGGACTTGAAAATTCAGACGACTGACTATTTTAATGAGCAAAAACTCCAAAAACAGTTGAGGAGATCACATAGCTTCTCACTCTGTTCTTTTCACAGACACACACACACATATTGCGCGCGCACACACACACACAAACACCTCCGGACCACAGCGCGCGCACACGCACACACAGACACACACACTACTCCTCGTCCACGGAGCTCCGTTAACAAAGCAGCACGCGTCGCGTTTTTAACGTGACTTAGATAAGAGAATATAGCCAGTTAACCTGATACAGTACACGCGGTTACAAGTAACAAATCACAACTAAATACATTTGCAAGCTCGAGTCATCGAGGCAACAACTATAATCGCACGTACTTACACTTGAGAAATGGAGGAAGAAAAATCCATCCTGACATCAATCAGTAAGTTACTCTGTACTGATCCTTCCTTTAACAAACGCTGATGAAGTATTCTTTGTAGCATGTAGTTTCCAGTAGTTTCCAACTGCTTGGTTATAATGCTGAGGTTTCATCTTTGGGTAGAGACTCGATATAATATCCATCTGCAGTGTGACTTCAATCGACCGGCATGTTTGTGTGTGTGTGTGTCTGGGTTTCTGCGTCAGAGGGCGGGGCCTCAGGTTTGAAATCTCCCGGGTTTGCGCGTGCACGTGAATAACTTGGTTTCGTTCGTACGTCATGGCGAAACACCTAATGAATCGGTATCAAGGCGACTCGTTTGAAGCACTATGAGTCGACTCTTTTATAGATGAATCAACAGTTTTAAACACTGTACACTAACAGATTTAAGCCTTAGCTGGATACTTCACTTCACTTAGAGCTGTGTTACACACTACATGGAGGGGAATTTTCAAAAACCCATAATATGGGCTCTTTAAATAAATAAATCAATAAGTTCTTGTTTAAACACATCTGTTTGTGTGTTTTTGTTCTTCTGTGGGGGCACCACAGTAAAATTTTGCTTAGGGCACCTTTTTGGCCAGCAGCCAGCTTTTTGGCCCTGTATATTTACATCACAGCAAAACAAAATATCAGATTGTTACACTATCGTGCAGCCCTAATAATACATGAATTTACCATTAGCAGTGTCGTTTCCTTTGTGGATTCTCTTCAGGTGATCTTTCTGCCGTCTGGTTAGACTCTGAATCCTCTGGAAAGTCCCTTGGAGTTCCTGCCAGGTGTCCAGTACATTCTCACTAAGCGAAAGAATGGGAGAAGTTCAACGTTAGACTGTAAAAATAAGACTGATAATAATAAAACAACAGCAGCATCAAGAAGACTACAGAAATGTATAACTTTATCCAAAATATCTAGTTACTCACACTCCACGGGGAACTGTTGCATGTGTGCCAACATGTGAACTTTAAAGGGAACTTTTTAGCTGTTAATTTTTGGAACAGTTTATATGTATATGTGTATCTAAAGGGTGAGTGTAATGATGTGTATGAAGAGCGTGATTTAGCAACAACTCTCCCAGGCAATGGCTGGGAAACTGGGCCCCTTGTAATTTGCATATAGATCGGGGCATGGAATGCAAGATGCCACTCTCACTCTTATTTACCTTTTGGAAACACTTTATTTTGATGGTCAATTTGAATATTAGTCGACTGTCTGCTTAATATCTGCTGATACTGCTCATCCAACAGACATTTAAATGACTATAAGTAAATTTGGAAGTACACGTCAACTTACACTAACCCCAACTTAACAGTCTACTTATATTCTAATGAGAATTAGTTGGCATGTAGATGCAATGCAACTTAAATTCAACAAACAGACCATCAAAATAAAGTTTGACCTACCTTTTTTCTTGTTTGTGGTTGAGAAAGGAAGCTCGGGAAAGTTTCTGTTGCTAGTTTTCCTCTTTAATTTTTGCTTTAGGTAAGTTTGTCATCCAAAACTTAGATGCTTTTAATTATTGCTTTGGGCTATACTTAGTTTGACATTCAGATTCTGTTAAAGTTCCTATATTTCTATTAAATAAGTTCTGCTGTTTATTTATTCTAAACATTGCGCTGACTCTTCACTCTGCGGCCGAGGATTAAAGTGTGTTCTCCACGTTTATTTAACTCTAATTCAATATTAGGGTGGCGCAGCGGGTAGCGATATCGCCTCACAGCAAGAAGGTCGTTGGTTCGAGCCTCGGCTGGATCAGTTGGCACTTCTGTGAGAGTGTATGGGTGTTTCCCAGTGACAGGTTGGAGATGAAAAGGCATCCACTGCATAAAACATGCGCTAGATAAGTTGGCAGTTCATTTTGCTGTGGCGACCCCTGATTAATAAAGGGACTAAGCCGAAAAAGAAAATGAATGAATGAATAATTCAATATTATTTACCAACTAATTTAGTCTTCGTTACACCTCCAAACAAAACCCCTAGACTTGAAAGAAGGTCATAACAGTTAGAAGCGCATAAATCTTGTATAACATGGCTTAAAAAAGCAGTTTCTCTCAATTTACTCTCTCTCTCTCTCTCTCTCTCTCTAGATAATATATATATATA